CTTCACTTTATTTTTACTTTGCAAACTTTGTCCTTACGCTGACACCTCTGGAAGATTTTTCCGGATGGGAGAGATGGATTGCGTGATTTGAAGACTTCTGAAAACCGAAGGAAAATTGTGGGGCAGCTCTTAATTGGGAAGTTTAAACAGGGTGAATTTATATTCAGAGGTAGAAACAAACACCTCCTGTTTCTAGCGTTAGGCCTACAGGAAGGAATGCTGGAGGTTGTATAAAGTTTGTCCTGCCCTTTGGATTTCTTTCCTAGAATCCTGATTCCCGGGGCTATCTGACAAAACCAGAGCTGCAGAAAACTGCTCAGCCTCTGTGTGATAAATCCTTCTTTCTGGTAAGCTGATACCCTCCCTGCTTGTTATTACACCAATGATGAAAGTTACTGAAGATCAATTTATTTTTGGTCAGTTTTTGACTCCTGGCGACTGCCTGGACTAGTCCTTGCGGTTTTCTTAGCAAGGTTTTTCAGAAGGGGTTTGCCCTGGCCTGCTTCCCAGGGCTGAGAGAGAAGGACTGGCCCAAGATCCCCTAGTTGGCTTTGTGCCTGAGGCAGGACTAGAACTCAGGGTCTCCCGGTTTCCAGCCTGATGCCTTAACCAGTACACCAAACTGGCTGGAAGATGGATAGGATTATTGTATGAATTAGACTAGCAATTCTCACGCTGATTTCCCCATCACAGGTCGATCCTGGAAATAAGAGCACTGCCTGGTCTGCCGTCGGCACTCTGATTCGCAAGGAGCTGGTCCTCAAGACTAATATCCCAGCCAGGTTGATTACCTTGCACTAAAGAGTTGGGAAGAGGGAGAATCTGTCTTGCTTTGGTTGAAGATGGTGGTGCTTTAACAGAGTTGGCGCACTTGTTGACAGGCGTCGCTCTTAAGCCTGAGAGAGAACGAGGAGATGGATGGATGGAGCTTTTCAAAACCTCAAGAAGATAGCTGAAAGGTTCTATCATGAGGGAAGCTCCAGTCCAGTTTTTAATTCGTCTTAGGGCTGTGTTCGTTTCCCCTTGGGTTGTGGTGGTGGTTGACAGTAGAGACTTCAGAGAACTGGTCCATTTTTGACTTGCAACCTTTTTCTGAGCAGATATTCTCTGACAGAAGCAGGGCTAACCTTAGCCCGGGAGCTGCATGCCTCCGAAGAGCTGAAGGAAAACAATTCCCATGCCCTGAAAGCCGCCGCATCCCGAACCAGAGAACTTGTGCTTCTGGAGGAAAACGACGGGAGCGCGTTGGGCTCCGAACACTCCGACCGGAGCACCCCCAGCAAGTAAGACCACGACCCCTTTCCTCAGGTGTGTGTTTTATCTTCCTGGGGTCCGGATGAACGGCAGGAGTGTAGAAGTTACCCCAATTCCTAGGATGACCCGGCCTTGTGGTGAAATTGTCTTCGGAGCCCTCTTCCACCAGCCACCCCATTTCCCAAGAATTCCAGGAAGCAGCAACATCTGTTTGGGTGTTTGTCCAGCACATTAAAATAACACAAAAATAGGTTTGGGTAAGCCAGGGTTCAGTGGGTTGAGCAATGTCCCCTACATATTTTCAGATGAAAACGTCTCTGCAAAGGAAGGGAAATTGCAAGGCTGTAGAACCCCCTCGTCTCTGAATTTTGAAGCGGGAGTAATTTCTCTTCCCCGGCTCTCAACTCCGTTGATCCTTCCTTTCTAGATCGAGCCACGAAGAGCCTAACTCGGGGCTGTCCAAACCCCAGTTTGTTTTTGAACCGGGACAGTTTGATATTATTCTCTGTGTGGATTTCATCGAGACTACGGGGTAAGCAGCTGTGATGATAAAACCACGGCATATGTGTCATGCATGGGGGGTGTGTGTGTGCACGCTTGTGAAAAGTCCAGCTGTCTTCACATATAACCATGAACCAACTCCAGGGCGATCTGGCTTAGCTTTCTCTCTGTCAGTTTGACCTGCCCGTCTTCTTCACAAGACACTTGATTCCAGAACCCACATATCAATCCCCAAAGGGGAGCTAAAAACATGACACTCCCAGAGTCTTCCCAATATTAAAGAAAGTGAGTGTGGACTGAAGACTTTTCAGACCAAAAAAAGGTTCAGTTGGGCATGACTCAGGTCTATCCTTTTTTTTTTTTAAATGCTTTCCCCCAAGGCTAAAAAGCAGGGTATAAATTGAAAGAATAAATAACAAGCTAGGTGGTTAGAGTTTCTGTGTGCGTGTTTTTGTTGATTTAAACAATGTTAAGTCTACTTTAAGCCATATTCTAAGTGGGGAGGGCCACTTGGAGCCTTTAGGCTAACACTTGATAAATTTACCATATAAGTATCTTCGTTCACAGCAGTGTTTCTCAACCTTAGCAACTTTAAGACGTGTGGACTTCAACTCCCAGGATTCCCCAG